GGGAGGAGACGGGGGCTTGGGGGCGGGACAAAGCTTCTGATTGGATAACCTTTCACCTAGAACTGTCAAATTGAGTTTGATGAAAGCCGGTATCTATACTGTGTGTGTAATGGATGGCAGAAACAGGAATGATTCTCATGTTGATGACTCGTAAGTTTTCACATTATCAAAACTGTTGCATGACCGCACTGACAATGCTTCAATAATACTCATTAAAGCAGAGTTTAATGACACTGATCAACAACATAATGTCAGGCTTCCATACTGGAGCTTTGAGAAATGCTTCCAGTCGTAATTACGGCTCTGACGTTGACAAACACTATTTACAACTTGGAATCTCATAATTATTCAGATATGATATGAACGTGACATAAATACTTAGTTTGCATGACCCAACTTTTAGGTTTGGTACACCAGTTTTAGTGGGAGACCTAGGTTTATCACCTTTATCACTTGTTCTTAACATTTGGTGACTTGTGTGCATGTGCGTGATCTTTGCTCTAGTTATGCTACTCTGTGAGATTCACATGCTGTCCCATCTACGCTAACAGTGCAAGAAGCTATGCAGAGATCATGCACATGCATAACTGACTTCAGATGGTAAAAAAATGATGGCCATTCTTCACCCTTGGTGCTGTCTTTTCTTAATAGGAATTATGTAATGCAGTTTAAGTATAATGTCTCATGCCCTGCATAGGTTTAAGCACATAAATTAAATTTACTATATCATAACAATGTGCCAGTCATGCTGTGCCAGTCAGTTTCATGATATATCTCCTTGCTCTGAAAATAACTGTGGCAATGGGGAGGTGAAATCAGAGTTCAGCTCAAAGACAGATACATTTGCATAATAATAATAATAATAATCACCTTTATTTGGCCAAGTATGTTACACACAAGGAATCTGTTTCTGGTACAGAACCGAGGCAGCCATCTGCGGCGCCAACTCAACCGATGGCTCTAACCACTGGGGGCAACTTGGGGGTTCAGTGTCTTGCCCTAGGACACTTCAACATGTGCAGTCACTGAGATTCGAACATCCGACCCTCCGGTTGGGAGATGACTGCTCTACCCACCGAACCACAGTCGCCCCCAACCACAGCTGCACATCTGTAAGACTCTTAACTCACTTGTCCAAATCCAGATAAATATGACCAAGTGACTTATTTTTCTTATCAATTTTGTGGCCCTGGAATCTGTTAGAATATGCACTGCGCATCAACACAGACAAGCTAACTCGTACTCTCTCTGAGTCGAACTGGTGCTGAGACAAAAACATGGCACAGCTGAACAGTGAGGGATGAGGGAGTGCGTTTTCTCCTGTGAGATGTGATTTGGATATTTGGAGCAGTAGCTTTTATTATTACAAACATTTATTATTAATGTCTGTGTGTGTGGTTGCCACGGAGATTAGTATAAGGTGTTGTTTTCTGGATATGTGTGTTCACCTACACACCTTCCACAGTGCACCACAACAGCGACCAGGTCGTAGAGTCTCTCAGGATTTGTGGCATCCCCGGAGGTGTTGAAGAGGCGAAGCTCCAGGGGGAAGACAACACGATAGGACAGCTTGGTGTAACGCTGCAGCTGCTCCATGTACTTAAAGCGCTTCAGGTGCAGCGCCAGGATCATCGGCAACTTCTTTACACGCATTCTATGCACAGATATTAGTGTCACATACAGAATCTAAATGCTCGACACCATACAGAAATAACCCTGAAATTCATTAATAAAGAATGAACCTGTGCACTGACCTCTTGTGTGCCTCCTGCTTACTTCTGCACTCTTCACAGTAGTATTTGTACTCACTGCACAGTGTCTCCGTGTTACTGAACCCCCTGACAAGAGTGGTGCAGAGCAAACTGGTCAAGCTGAAGTCCACTTCTAAAAATCATTTCATGCTCTAAAAAGCTATTTAAAAATACTCAATTCTCTTCATTAATCAATTAATTATCTGTCAATATACTAATGCTGTTGTTTAATACATTTTGGGTAACTCACCTGAGGCAGTGTGTGATGGAGGTATTCTGTTCTACATCCACAGAAAGGTCTAGAAAGTCCTCATCTTTGCTGCTGATCTGAAGAGATAAAAAGGACACCAAAACAAATCCCGTTACTAGACAATTAAGTCAGTTTGATTTATCTGGGGACCAGTGATGACATATTTAGCCACATGTCATCATTAAACCGCTGGTTGTCTAGGTGGTGCCCAGAAAATAACGTGGGCTTCATAGACAACTGGAAAACATTTTGGGGAAAACCTGGTCTGATTAGCAGAGACGGCATCCATCCCACTTTGGGTGGTGCGGCTCTCATATCTAGAAATCTGGACGAGTTTGTTTTACAACCTAAATTATGACAACCTAGAGTTGAGTCCAGGATGCAGGGTCGCAGTCTTACACGCCTCTGTGCTGTCTCTCTGCTGCTACCCACCCAACGCTCCCAGTATCCCATAGAGACTGTGTCTGCCCCCCGCCCACCTAAATTATATAAATCAAGAATCAACTCCAGAGGAGTTATTCATAAGAACCTAATTAAAATTAAGATGACTCCTCTTATAGTAGAGAGTAATAGGACAATCAAATGTGGACTATTAAATATCAGATCTCTCTCATCTAAATCTCTGTTGGTGAATGATTTGATAAGTGAACATCACATTGACTTATTGTGTCTTACTGAAACATGGTTACAGCAGCAAGAATATGTCAGCCTAAATGAATCCACTCCACCTAGGCACAGTAACTGTCACATCCCTCAAAACACAGGCCTATAACATCTATGTCTTTCGGTGAAAAGACTATATGACAGTCGACAAGTGCAGAACACCATGGTACCTTTCCCAGCAGCTCAGGGAGCCCCAAGGCCTGAGCGATGAAGACGCCAAGACAAATGTGGATGGTGGGAACAAGGCCTAGGAAGCCTCTCAGGTTCTTGGGCGCGATCTCACTGAGGTACATGGGCACCACACTGAGAGAGATCCCTGTTGAAAACAGAGTGAATACGACAATTTAAATGCATGCTGAATTTTCATGATAGGATTTCTCTTTTGAATGTTTAGGATACTTTTTAGGTTCCTGAAGAAATCATATATTGTGTTCATATCATTAGATACTGTATTTAGTGTCTATTATTTCTTAATGTCAACTATTAAATTTCTATGCAAAAAAAAAACTCCAGGATTTTAACATTCTGTCCCTGAAATGCTGTATATTATAAATATACAATAAGAATATTATTAATCAACATAACCAAAGATTATAGCTAATTTTCATCATTTGCAAACTTTATTACAAATGAAACAACTACAAGTCAACAAAGGTCACATGAAACTGCTCTGCATGGGCTAAAACCCACAGCTACTTATCTGTCTGTGTAATATGCGGTTGTAGCTTTGCATCTAATCTGCAAAAATGTAACTGTCAGCACTTAAATTGCGTCTCATTTCTGTTTTATGTCAAGTACAATAGTGACACCGCAGGCCTCCCTGAGTACACTCCCATGATGAAGCGTCCAACGATAACCATCGCAGGCATCCTGCACAGCCTGCTGAAGCCCATAAGGGTTCCTCCTATGAACACCAGCACAGTGGATCTCACCAGTGTTCCTTTCCTGTTTGGACACATAGATCACTCTTTACTTAACCTTCTCAATAAATACGATGCACTGCCAGAAGAACAGGCTGATGGCATTTTACAAATATAAGCATGCATTTAGCATGAATTACACAGAGAAGAATCATCCATACACACTCTAACCTCCCATATTTGGTAACAAGTACGCCCACCAGCAGCGCTCCCATCATCCCACCAATCGCAAAGATGGACACAGTGAGGGAGTACAGAGCCGTGAGGAACTGCTCATCTGGAGTCCAACCGTAGCTTTCTACAATCGTCTCATTGTAGAAGTCTTTGATGTACTGATGGAAAAACAACAAAAAAAAGTATTTAACTTTAATTTTAACAATGTCCAGCATGGGATTAGATAAATAGATTTGGGGACTGAACAGTAAGGCAGAGGACACAGCTTTTAAAGTTTAAAAAAAGATGGGATTTTTTATTCACCCAAAAATAAGTAAAGAAAGAAAAATACAAACAATATCAATATCAAATAAACTGGGCCCTAAAAGAAGTCAACAAAAGATAAGGAACCTCAAACTACAGCAAACTGAACTACACGGTACCTCAAACAAAAACCAACTGACCTATCAAATAACACAAACAGTGGAACATACCGTTTATACTGGCAGGCCAAACCAATAACGCACACAGGGAACGGACAAAGACTCCATCTAAATAATCTACCAATAAACACTGAATAGACAGTCTGCCAACAACTAAATATGTTTCTTTAGATGTAAAAGAAATAACATAACTTGACAAATAAATGTCGTCTTTTTGTCTGAACCAGACCCATCCATTGACCAGCAGCACGGCAACTCAAGACAATTTACACACATTAACAATACAAAATTAATCAAATGTGCATGCTTCATTGATTAATTGTGTATGTCCAATGTCAAATCAAATGCCTAATGTCTACCTACAACTTAAATCTACACACAAAGAAAACAAAAGATTACCTAGCTAATTCTACTGCTGGAGGTGGTTTAGGCCCTCACATGATGAAGGTCAGGGCTGAGGCCTTCACAGTCTCAGTGCTGCTTTTGACACTATTGATCACAACATGTTATTACAAAGACTAGAACGTGTTACTAGGATTAAAGGAATTGCATTGTTTAAACCCTATTTATCAGTTTGATTCCAGTTTGTCCATGTTAATGATGACTCTTCCATGTAGACTAAAGTTAGTCATGCTGTTCCACGGGGCTCTGTGCTAGGTCCAATTCTCTTCACTTTATACATGCACATCTCAGGCAATATTATCAGGATAAAATTGCTAATAATATTATTAGCAGATAATATTAAATTGTTTAGTTCATATCAGACCCTAACTACTACAAAACACAGTATAAATTTTCATTGCTACACAGATGATAGCTATGTTTATCTATGAACCCAGATAAATCAGATGAGTTGGTCAAACTTCAAGCATGTCTTAAAGACATAAAGGCCTAGATGACTTGTAATTTCTTACTTCTAAATTCCAACAAATGCAAAGTTATTATACTTGGGCCTGAAAATCTTAGAAATATGCTATCCAGCCATATAGTTACACTAGATGACATAACCCTGGCCTCCAGTACTGTGAGGAACCTTGGAGTCGTTGTACAATATCGCTTAAATCAGGAGCATCCCGTCTCAAAGTGATGCTGAAAAACTGGTCCATGCATTTGTTACTTCCAGGCTGGACTACTGTAACTCTTTACTATCAGGATGTCCCAATAATTCCCTAAAAAGCCTCCAGTTAATCCAAAATGCTGCAGCCAGAGTACTGACAGGAACTAGCAAGAGAGATCATATCTCTCCCATATTAGCTTCTCTCCACTGGCTCCCTGTAAAATTCAGAATAGAATTCAAAATCCTTCTCCTAACATACAAAGCCCTTAATGACAAGGCTCCATCATATCTTAAAGACCTCGTAGAGCCTTATCATCCTAACAGAGCACTTCGCTCTCAGAGTGCAGGTTTACTTGTGGTTCCTAGAGTCCACAGAAGCAGAATGGGAGGCAGAGCCTTTAGCTATCAAACTCCTCTCCTATGGAACCAACTCCCAGTCTCAGTTCAGGAGGCGGACACCCTCTCTACCTTTAAGATTAGACTTAAGA